CAATACACTTGCTTTCAAAATGCATTTAAACAAAATTTCATATCATAATATGTCCTTATGCAAATATGAATCTTTGAACAATTGCTAGGAATATAGTGCTAGGAAATGTGCAAAATAACTTGTGACTGAAAGTTTAGGTATGATTAAGTAAGAATGTCAATGAAGTCAGTTTTAAAGTTATGGATTACTAAATTACATATGAGACAAGATTTGATAAAAAAAAACAAATATCCTCAATGTGTTTATTCAACAGCCTTGCAATCCCAATAATGTCTGATACATGGTCACATAGACTGCGGGTCAATTTTGACCTAGCCTGACATAAGGTAACATGCTACCAGTGACCTCTGACCTAGCCTGACAAAGGGAAAGGGTAGCAGACAGTCAGTGACCTTTGACCTAGCCAGACATCGGGTAACATGCTACCAGTGACCTCTGGCCTAGCCTGACACATGGTAATATGCTACCAGTGACCTCTGACCTAGCTTGACACAGGGTATCATGCAAACAGTGACCTTTAAATTTGACCAAGCCTGGCACAGGGTAAAATGCTACCATGCAGTGACCTTTGTTCTTGTCTGATTTGAGGTCACATTCACCCAGTGACCTTTGATCTAGTCTAATATAAGGTTACACAGTATCCATGACCTTTGATCTTTTACAACATGGGAAGGTCACCAGTGCATGACCTCTTGTGCGATGCAGGCTGATTTCTATGCAGTATGAACTGATAATGTTAACATGAATTATACAACACAATTTCATGAAAGGTTCTTGTGAAAATTAAACCACAAAAAAATGCATCATTGAAAAAAGAACAACATGTTATAAAATCTGATTCAATAAAATATTGTGTGAAATTGACTTGAGCCATACATATATTTCGGGTTGTGAAAGTAATTGAATGTGAAATTCATAAAAAATCATTTCCGTGTGTTTTCACATAGGTACCGATCGCAAATGAGATTTTTTTTTACTAATAAACATTTTCTCATTTAGGATAGGTTCAAATGGTTTGCTCAACAATAAGCAGTAAAGTATGAGATCCAATTGTAAGAAGAAAAACAGAACACATAGAATGGACAAAACAACAGAATCGTACTGTCAAACAGCACACTGATGGATTACATGGAAAATTAAAGTGTACAAATGATCGGCTCTTTTTTGCACTTCATGGTAATGTCATCTTATTGTGTGTCTGATTATAGTTGCAATGTTGCTTATTTTAACATTTACATATGTAATTCTTAAGTTATTGAAATTATTTGTACATTCATGCCACTTTTGGTAATTTACACTGAAAAATACAGCCTTAGAGTAATTTACATTGTGAAAAATACAGCTTCAGGGTAGACTATGAATTTTTTTCAGCATCTTCAGTAACTGTTATAATGAATTCATTCTTACTTTATTGTTTGAATAGACGCACAAACAAAGCAACAATCACTTTGGAAAACACAGTCACATGATGCTTTAGACTTTTTGAAATGTCCCTTGTCAATATAATGTCAGATGATGTTACAAAAGATTATTTATTTATGGACAAGTAAAACAGGCAATGCTTTCATTGTAAACACATGCTGGTTTATTAAGATAAAAACAAAAGTCTGAATGCCCAATTAATCTAGGAACTGCAGGAATTATTTTTAGTGGTAATATTATTTTAGTGGTAATATTATTTTAGTGGTAATACTATTTTTAGTGGTAATATTATTTTAGTGGAACATGTTTTTTTAGTGGTAACATTTTAGTTAGTTAGTTGAACTTTAATATGATTGAAGTGTTAACTCATTCATCCCTGATGTCACATTTGAACTCTTCCAATTCAAAGGTTGGTATAGTTCATTATGAAATTTCAGGGGTGAATGAGTTAATACTATTTCCCCACATTTCTCACTGACCCTGTCACTCTTATCAATAATTACTGTGAAATCAATAAATTTTCAACCATTTTCTTTTGACCTTTCATTGATTTCATGGGTAGTCCTTATCCACAAATTCAAAGGTCCACAAATAATTACATGTTTGACATAAAGCCATTTTCTGTATGAGTGGGTACTCGTAATCCAACGATTTATGTACCCACGACACAATGTTTTTTCGGGAAACCACAAAATTAGGGCCCCTTGAAAATATCTGATTTCACAGTATACAGTGTTAAATTAGTGTTGAATTAAGAACCTGATACACTGATTGATGATTGCAGTGAATTATCGTTTTATATATATTACAAGTATAGTGTGAATCATGAAGTGTTTGTTGTATGAACAATATTAGTTTTTGTGATTGCTATAGAACCCCAAAAATAGATACAACAAATCGATTTTGTATACTTGACCACTGTTTGTTTTATATGGGGTTTCCATGAAAGTTTGTGCCATAAAACAAATTTATCTAAATAGCTTCAAACCACAGAAGAAAGTACCCACAAACATCTCATGTAGCTGGTATATACAACAACATCTGTTACGCCAAGGCATTACAGGGGAGATAACTGGTTTAAAAAAAAAAGTTCTCTAATCCTAGATAATTTACATGTGAATAACAATTGACTGAGACTGATAACCAGCTAAACAAAGTGTTGTCTTCATAAATAACAATTCCCTGTAAATAAGAATTAAGGACTAAAACGAAACTGACGAAAACTGAATAAAAATATTAAAGATAAAGAGGTCAAGGTAACAATTACACATTGTTTAGAAAGTGACTTGAAAACCAACTGGGTATAATGAGATTAATCAATTGTTTTGTGTTCAGAAAATATCATTTCGATGGTTTGATGACTTTCATCCATTTCACACGTGATATTTTTAAATATTATGTGTTCTTAAATGGTATGTCTAAAAATAATGAATGCACATACGTGTATATAGAATTGAAAGTTAACAAACCCAAACAGTTATCTCTGATAGAGTTTAACAATTTAATCTTTATCTTTCTAAGAATCACAGGTATTTACATTGATTAGGTGAAATTAATGTAACTTTGGTAGACTCTACCATGCATTGATCTGGATGAGTCCATTATGGTCTACAGTGGTGAAAGGGTAAATAAATGTGACACGATCAAAAAGATAAGTGTTAACACTGAAAATGGTATTCCACTTCTGTTCCCTGCACCCCTGGAATATGTCATGACGAAATTGAAGGCTCTATACAAGCAAACTTTGATGTACATCAAAAGAATTGCAAGGCAGCACAATGGTAAAATCGACCAGCTTTAAAGTTGAGTGTCGCTCCTCTTAAACGTTCAAAGGACAGGTATATCACGCTAGCAATTGATCCATTTTTTCACCTGAATCCAATAAAATAGCGAACTATGTGCCTTTAATTTCATCATGATATACACAGGTGCAGAGAAGGTGAGTTATACAAAAAAAAAAAAATCCCAATCATGAACAAAATGTGTATTTTTGTTTTACTAACTTATCACTGGAACAAGAAATTAAGCCAGAGCACAGTATCAGAGGTTGAGCATGAGAACATTTTTTATAAATACAGGCCCTGTTTGCCTTTTCATTTTTAAAGTAACAAAGATTCAGTTTGAAGGAAATGTGTTTCAACTGTAATGAAATTAAGAGTAGACGGTGCAGTACTACTATTGTACAATAAACACAAGTCAACTGAGACAGCTTTACTACAGAAAGTCAAAACAACACACCTGACAGAATACCAGGTACAGCAAAAGTCATTATAACTCACCCCTGGGAACTTCACCTAATTACTTCTTGAAATATAACTGGTTTATAATTTAAACTCATGGCAACTAATAAGCAGTTTTGTATAAACAGTAAAACGAGTTCCAAACGAACCCTGGTCACCGAAGAAATTAGTTCTTTAATGAAACAGATGTTTATAACAAACCCAAGGACATCAAAGAAATAAGTTATCTAAACAATAAAATTAATTTATATTGAACACTACAGGTTGTAAGGTATTAGTTCCCTACAGTAAAACATATTTATAACCAACCCGATGGGATGAAAGTGATTAGTTTATGAGCCTTTGTTTTTATACAGCATGATTTTCGCAGCATTCTCTATTGCAAATAAATGTCAACTTAACTTTGGCTTGAAGACATAGTTCTGGCATCCTATAGTATGTGGTTCTTCTAAACCAGCTGTGTTACATTCATGAATTCAACTTTCAGTGAAAATCGTGAAAAATTGCACAGTATATGCTCGAGTTCATATTTGTGATTTTTTAGCACATTTTGAGGTTCATATATATGAGGCAGCTTTTTCAGGGGATGTAAATACAACTTCAAATCAAGCAATAATTTGCTTTAAATGTGTTCATAGTTATTGAATTTTAGCACATGAGGATTCATCAGATAGACTGTTTAGTGTATAAAATTATATCAGAGTAAGAAACTCATAAAAGTCAATGATAATTCATGTTACACTATATTGCATTTATACATGTATTTCTCAACAGAAATATATCAGCTAAAATTAATGTGTTTTTGTTTTGTTAGTATGAATACATTGATTACCTCAGAGATAATTTTCGACATACAGAATATCTCATATTCCCCATTAATATATTAGTTGACTTGTTATGAAGAATGGTAAAACCAAACAATTCTGATTTTCTTTTTGTGATATTATAATTCACTTTTTTACTGGACTGAAAAAATCAAGGGAAAACACTGCCATTTTTGCCTTTAAAAAGGTTGTCGTTGTATTGTTTCTGGTAACGTCATATGGGTGTTATTGCACACATTCTATATAAATTCCATGTGATCATACTGCACTGCCCTATAGCTCTAGTGTTCGAGAAGATGGGGTTACTTCCCTTTGATTTATCACCGCTGTACAACAAGCCAGTCTTACTATATGTTTAAACACTCACACACTTCATTACCACTCTCCAGCCAGTCAGACTAATCTGAAAGCCATGACTGACATTATTCAAAATAATTGGCATGGTTTTGTTATTTAGAAATCATATGGATTTTTCATAATTCTTTGAAATATTTCCCCCCTCCCCCCNAACCTTTCATTTAGGCCAGGTAACGTAACAAAATCAGGATGGTTAATAGATACATTTTTCTTTCGAGATGTCTGCTAGAGTGTGAGAAATGAGGGAACATAAGTGTGAAAAGCAGTTGTGCATGATTATTAGGAGTGTGTGAGAAAGTGAGTGCGTGGTTATGAATGTGTGAGAAAGTGAGTGCATGGTAATGAGTGTGTGAGAAAGTGAGTGCATGGTTATGAGTGAGTGCGTGGTTATGAGTGTGTGGTAATGAGTGTGTGAGAAAGTGAGCGCATGGTAATGAGTGTGTGAGAAAGTGAGTGTCCATGACCACGAGTGTGTATGTACAAGACAGTAAATCAGAATCTGCATGTGAAACTTTTTGAGAAAGTAACTTGGCATGTATGAGGGGCTGAGAGGCGAGTAAAAGGATGTATGTGAGAGTGTAGGGGCAAAAGTGAGAGAATGTGTGAGAACTGAGTGATGATGTCGTGTGAGAACATAATGTGTGTATGACGAGCGTATTCAATTATCACAGATGACACAAACATTTTAAGTTTTTAAGACATTCGGTTAAATTATAACAAGACAGATTAAATTAAAAACAGAACTGATTAAATAAATGGAAGAACAACAATGAAAAGACTGCAACCTACACAAGTTATAGCAAATTAGGAGAGGTAACGAAAGGCATGTTGATCTGTAAATCAAATGATAAAATCAACTGACAAGTTATTTACAGGTACAAGACATATATTTACAGTTCAGTTGAAACTATAAACTTACAGGTAAGAAAGAACTAGTCTTCAAGATGTCAGGTGTTTAGCTCACTGCTATTGTCTTTTGTGTTCCGATGTATCTACTGTTGTCTTAAAACTTAACAAAGTTGGAGTCAACATGATAAAATAATTCAAACCAATAAGGAGAAACGGAAATCATAAGGTAGATATTTTTATTATTATTTTATTTTTCAAAACCCACTCTGGATTATCATATAGAAAAATTTGTAGTCTAGGTGATTGTATCAGATAGTGATAGATATTTGCTGTTTGTACACAATTCAGTCGAAATTCTGTGACAAAACTTATTTTTTCGTCAATATTTTTATGATTGTAGATACTCACAGTAGATAAGCAAGAACACAGTTCTGGGCAAAATTAGTAAGAAATATTCACCAGAGAAAACATTCCAATATTAGAAAGAAATATCAATTCATGCAGGTTCAACTAGATGTTTGAATCAGGTACAAACTATAAACTATTTAAGTAAAGACACCTGTTCAATACATAAAGACAACAGTTCGATACATATAAAACATGTGTTCTCTACATTTATAAAACACCTGTTCAATATATATGAAAAACACCTCTTCATTATATATAAAACAAGTTTTCAATGTGTATATAAAACACTGATTCAGTACATAAAAAACACTGTCCAATCGTGCATACATAAAACATGTGTTCAATATATATCAAAAACACCCGTTCAATGCATATAAGATGTGTTCAGTATGTGTATATAAAACACCTGTTTAATACATATAAAACACCTGTTCGAGACATTTTAAACACCAGCTGTTAAATGCATATATATAAAAAAAAATCGGGAGAAATTAATCAGTTTCCATCCGGTGAATGTGGTTCCTACTAAAAGCCGAAACACTTGACATCGTGAAGAGTGTGAGGACATTGGGACTCAGATCGAGGACACTGTCTGTAGACTAGGTAAAGGAATATTTGGGGTGTTACACAGTGTGATTATAACATCACGTTTTATATATACGTATGACGTCCTTAATCTCCTGTCGACATATAGGACACAGGCCGCCCTTGCGCTGTTTCACCTGTATTGCACATTCAAAGCACATGCATAGATGTCCACACATGTAGAGTGCGGCGTTCACTTGCCGCTCGTAACACACAGTACATTCGTCGCGCACCTCGCTATCGCCGTTATCCACAATGTTTGGTGTATTAGGCGTGGACACAGGTTGTTTCTGGACATTGTCCATCGGTCCCGGTGACATCTGAGCCAGGGTGGCTGCCGGTACACTGTAGCTGCGCAGCATGTGAGGCTGTGGATTCTGATTGGCTGGCACTCCTGATTGGTCGACATTTGCGTGGGTCATGTTTGCGAGGTTCTGTGCTTGTGGTTGTTGATCCCGGGGAGGTAACATGACAGTTAGGGAGTTTTGGGCCCCCAAGTATGAGGTGGATCGGGGACGGGGCGGCACAGGCGGTAAGTGGACAGTGGTACCTGTAACAAGGTAACATAAATATCAGGTCTCGAACAAATCAATTGTACCACGTTCTGAAATTTTCCTAAGTTTAATTAACACCTGTACCTGTGTATACCTGGATATTTTCGCCCAGTCAAATTTTCGAAAAAGGTGCAAATCAAACTTCAGCGAAAGTTTCTATGTATATTGTATTGACCTCAGCATTGGTCTAGAGTTGTATATTATCCAATTATTATATATATCACTATGACATATATATGTAGTAACTTTGTATTAATGTAGATTACTTACTTACTTAGGCTGAGTACACATCTTATATAGAAGTGTTACACACCATCACACACACCCTCACACATACAAGTTGTATGTGTGAGGGTGTGTGTGTGATGGTGTGTGTGACATGTAGGCATGTGGGTATGCAAGTATGTATAAGCTTGAGTAGATGTTTACATATTTAATTATTATACATTACCCGAAGTAATCATTCTACTCTCTGAATATTGTGTAATACTACCATCAATGCTTTCATGTTAAGATCTATTTCTCTTTATATATATACATCACTGTCTATGATATCTATTATTTACTTTATTCACTTTGACTTGTATATATGTGGTACCTATTAGAGAGGACTTATATAGGCTTGTCTGTTGTCCAATCCATATGTTATCTAAACAATAAAATTTGTTGAAATGAAATATTATCCAATCTCTTGCAGTTATTTTCAAATTTTCATTTTTTTTCTACCATTGTACTGGAGTATCAAATTTTCCAGATTAAGGAGCAAAGGTTTATCTCAAAATGAAGGCATCTTGAAGATTAAAAGTTGTTTAGACTTCAGAGATCATCTTTTATTTGTTCAAAGTTGGGCTACTTCACACAAGTCTAACACTTGTTCATATGCTGGATGACTTACCCAAAGGGCGTATTTTCTGGACGTTTCCGTAGACATCAAAGAAGATCCAAAGAGGCAGCGTCCTGTCTACGTGAAGAAGGGTGCTTACTCGCTGGTTATTACGGGAGTACCTCAGCTCTCCTGAAACATCCAATTGTCACATGCAGATAGATGAAAGAGTCATTCATATCTAAAGATATTTGGTTGAGAATTCCACTTATGGGTTCATAATTAGATATTCAGTACATAATATAGACATTGTAGGGAACTTAATGAGTCCTTAAATGCTAAGTTTGTTTTGAACACAAAAAGGAATTGAAAACTTATTTTGCTAGCTTTTGAAAATGTCTGTTTCCTTAGCCCCAGTTTCATCTGGCTCCAGTTTCCTCTGGCCCCAACGTTAGACTTAAGATATCTTGACAGATAGATGTCTGACATATCTGTCAAGAGGTCTAATTCTGGTGTCAGGGCCAGAGGAAACTCAGATTACTCAGGCAACTGTTTCCATGCATTGTCAAGCAAAGAGCGCAAATGCATTTGCACCCGTTAGGTCGTCAGTCCTTCGTTTCAAATTAATGTGGAACATTGATATCTTCTGATGGAACAAGCATAGAAATATTAATGAAATGGCTCACTTAGCGAATTTATTGTTGTCAATAACAAATATGATGTTAGCCTTCAGCTCAGGGTACATAAGGTCCTGACAGCGAACATGAGACCATGTACCCTGCCAAAGACCTGTATAACTAATAATATGCATTGTCGATTTCATGTTTGCTTTGTTATCATATGATGCAAGAATATAAGAGACTCAGACACTTATTTGCTAGTAGAACATAGGACGTTTTTAGTGGTAGGGGTGGGTGGTAGTATTATCCGATACATTTCTGTGAGTTTTAATCCCGACTCATAACCCTGAGGATGAAATGACCTTTCTCTACCATACTAGAATGAAAACATTTTTTTCTTTAAATTAACTCATTCACCCCTGAAGACACATTTGAACTCTTCCAATTCAGAGGATGGAATAGTTCATTATGAAATTTCAGGGGTGAATGAGTTTTAAAAGCATTTATTTGTGAGAAATTGTTGATATATTTTTAAGAAATTTTAATATTCCTGCCAGCGTCCATGTTGGACATATTGTTATTTGATTGTATAGGATAACATTATGTATCAAGCTGATTACTTAATTAGAGCACCACATCTTCAATGCAGGGCTGAATAATAATCATCTCTAATTTGTATCATTACAATTAGGTCGACACCATGTGAAATACCATGCAAGATAAATGTTTGTCTCGTATGGATTTACAACAGTGCATATATATATATATATGCTCCCAATTCAAACATCTCAATGAACAAGAAGCTGATCAGTACCAAGTCACACCTTAGTCATTGTATGTTACTATAACTAACTCAGTAACTTCAATTACACAGCCTGTAGGTACAGACTTCCTGCAACAGACCCCCTAATTACACGCCTGTTGGCCCCTATCATTAACATCCCATACAGATCCCTATCAGCCTATACCAAAACATTGAGCTACAGATCCTGCTGAGTCAGCCTTGACTCACTTCTCTCCGAGACAATGTACCTGTGCTTTACTGCTAGTTATATGACATCATCATCACTTTTCCCCCTCCCCACCCACAACTCGTAACACCTATCAGCTTATCGGAACATGTGGGAAAGGACTCAGGTAACCTGTGTATCTTGACCTAGTGCCAACTGCTTCTCAAAACAAACAAATTCATCCGAAATACATGATAACTCCCTTTGGGTGAGCTCATTATCACTTCGTGATCATTATTGCTAATCTGGACCATTTTTGCCTCAGAATAATCTATGCTTCAATATCATATGTGCTATATGTTCGGTGTAATTTTTCTGCCTCACACAAAACAGACTACGCACTATATGCTTATACAGTAATATCAGGGCTAGACAATAAGGGTAGCCCGATGTCTTAGACTACAGAGGTAGTCAAATCTCCAGCTGGACTAGTGGTTCTAAAAACCACTAGCCAGATTGACTAGTCAAAAGGACTTAAGGGGTTATGGGTCATTTTTGGCCTCATTAAAAGTTAAAAAAAAATCAATTTGAATTTATGGACCAATTTCTGTTATAAACATCATATTTGTTAATTGGGGCTATCTTCCTTGGTGCAGATATTTCCCAATGACGTGCGTACATAGATGCCCTACCATAGAAACAAAATTGCGTTGCTATGCAGAAATATCCAAAATATGGTGTTTTTGGACAGTTTAAGCATGCAGAAATGAAAGCCTCCGCATGTGATAAAACAATTACTTTCGAAGAATGAACACTGGTGTGACAATGTTGAAGCATGTCAAATGTTTATTTGTTTGTTTCATGCGTAGGCTTTCAACAATTGAACAGTGTTTAGTTTATTTCCTTCAAAATGGCACATTTTCATCCAAATAACACACAACAGACGATATTCAAACATTTTGTTATGAAAATGCAGGTCTATGTATCTCTTTGTAATGCCATATCTCCTAAACCAGTTTTTGAAGGAATTTGAAATTTTATATTTGCGTACTTCATTTATTCCAGATTACGAATTTAACAACTAATTCTCAATCCCGATGAGGCCGAAAATAACCCTTAGCACCCCTATAGTCCTTTGATATTGCTTATCTCGTTGAATATTATTGGACTAGTGGAATTTGCATTTGGACTAGAAACAAGAGGCCCAAGAGGGCCTGTATCGCTCACCTGAATATTTAAGCAGTCATAGCAAAATATTCTCATTAAATATTATATTGCACTAAAAATATTTCCCTCGCAAACTTTGTTGGCTCCATCTGTTGAAACTACCAGCAAAATATTATTATAAGATTCTATGCTTTTTGATTCTTCTTCAGAAGTTGCTGACATATTTTTCCCTGTGATCATGTAAGTAGGTCAATGTCATTTTCCTTCTCAAATTGGTTAGCTCTATTCCAAAAAGCTACCAGCCAAATCTTATGAATCCATTCCTTTTAGTTCTCAAGAACAAATCCATTAAAATGTTGTTGACCTCTGTGACCTCTAAAGTAGCTTATAGGTTGAGGTCATTTTCATTTGCAAACTTTGGTGAGCTCTATCCCGGGAAGTCACCAGCCAAATATTATAATTTTATGCCTTTTAATTCTTCAGAAGAAGCTGTTTGAACTGTTTGACATATTTGAACGCTGTGACCTTGAAAGTAGGTCAA